ACCTCCCCCTCACTCGTGTATTCATCTGTGTACACACACACACACACACACACACACACACACACACACACACACACAGGCTGTGCACTGAGGTATTTGTGTTTATGTGCAGCTGTTAGATCCCATGTCTCTAGGGGAGGTCTATCAGCCAGCAGCCCTTTATGAAGAAGCCCTGTCTCTGGTCCATGAAGACAAAGTGGCCTATAGGACCCTGAGGTAACTGTTATGTGAAGCATTTTTATTTGTATTCTTAAAGATGCACTGACAAATACTTTTCTAAAAATATTATATATTACTGTAGATAATGCCATATGAGTCACTGTCTGTTGTATCTGTGGTCCCTCATAGACTTTCAACTAAAACTACTGAGAAACGCAGTTTAATTGTCAAACATCAAAAAGCCTTTAGCAGTTAAACTGGTGGAGACCAAAACTGAGCAAAAAGTGAATTTTTTTAGACTCCAAATTAATGCTGGTGTTACTTTTTGGATGTGAAAATGTACATTTTAACAAAAGGTAATAGTGGTGCTAAAAAACAAAAACAAAACCTCTTATACTCAATACACAGCAGCCAAGAGAAGCATGAGCCTTTGTTGACTTAAATAAAATTTTCTGTGTTTACCAGGACTGAACTACTTGAATGTTATAGTGACCAAGACTTCCTTGCCAAGCTTCATTGTGTGAGACAAGCATTCCAGGTTGGTTTCAGCAAACCCACACTTCATACGTATATTCATTCATATATACATGTTTAAAACCAAATTACTACAGAAATTAAACCAGTGATGCTTTTCTTTTCCAGATCCTATTGTTAGATGAAACTCATCGTACGTTTTTCATGGAGACCGGAAAGCAAATGATTGTGGGTTTAATGATAAAGGCGAACAAGGTAAAATACTCCTCACTGGATCCTCAGTTATGAATGTCCCTTTGGACAATTTTAAAGAGCTGTAATTATTTATTTTAACTGATCTCATTTGATCTTTTGCTTCATCTCAGAGCCCCAAAGCTTTTCTAGAAAGCTATGAAGACATGCTGCTGTACACTCAGAGAGAGGAAACGTGGCCCGTCACTAAGATGGAGCTGGAGGGTCGAGGAGTGAGTAATCATGCTGTTATTCAAGTCATCACATCAATGTGATAGTGTATGTGTGTTTACAGTAAACATGAATGTGGCAAGTGAATTCAATCAGTAGCTATTCATTGCAAACATCAGTTAACATTTGTATTTTTTTTTGTTTGTTTGTTTCTTTTTGTTTTTTTAGTGAAAATATTTAAAGGGACCGATTGCTTAATTTTTTTAGTTTCTCAGTGACAGATATAACCAACGCATGACCAACACACATGACAGTGTGCTCAGCTCTTTGAGCTCTTTGAGTCAGTTGTACATAATTTTAATATGTTGCACATTGCTGCCACCAGCTGTTCATCAGTAGTATAGCTTCAAACTATCCACAGGACATGTTCACACATGCTTCGGTGTGTGTGTATATCTGAAACAGACCGACCAGGAGCCCACTCTTACAAACCTCCATGTCACTACAGTAGATAAGGAAAAAAAAATACAGAAGTTTTTTTTTTCATGTACAACAGTTGCACAACACTATCTAGTCCTTTATGTGTTCCAAGTCAGGTATGCCTGATGCCACAGCAGTTCAAAACATTACTGCTGCTAAAAATAAATAAATAATGCTTTCACCATTCCTCATGGTCCACATTTCCTGAACATTGCAGGTGGTTTGTATGAACTTTTTCGACATAGTGTTGGACTTCATCCTGATGGATGCATTCGAAGACCTGGAGAGTCCTCCTGCCTCTGTGGTGGCTGTGCTCAGGAATCGCTGGCTCTCTGACAGCTTTAAAGAAACGGTTAATATGATGCACATGCATCAGCACAGACACTTACTCCATATTCCACCAACACGCTTATAACGGTTTCTCTAATAATAGTTTTTAATTTTCTGGCAGGCTTTGGCGACTGCTTGCTGGTCCGTCCTAAAAGCCAAAAGGCGTCTTCTTATGGTGAGTTTATACTAGTTTTAGAAATTAATACTTTTTAATGGCTTTATTTAAACCTAAAAAAATTGTTTATTCTGATAGCTTGTTCTTCTGCTCTCTCCAGGTTCCTGATGGATTTATCTCCCACTTCTATGCCATATCTGAGCATGTAAGCCCAGTTTTAGCTTTTGGCTTTTTAGGACCCCGGCAGCACCTGAGTGAAGTGTGCACAATTTTTAAGGTGAGGCCATACAGAGTATATGGTTTAAAAATATTTCAGTGCAAGCAGACACTATCCTCTGTGCAGGAAAACCACTAGCTTAATGTACAACTCTACAATTCTTACAGCACATGACACTAAATGTATAATTTATACAATTGTATAGTGAGATGTACAGCAGAGGATGCAAGATGCTGCAAGATACTTTCTTTAATCGGGTTATAAAACTTTATAGAAGTGCAGTGTTGGAAGAAAAGAAGAGTCAGAGTGAAACTCTTAAACCTACATTTCCTTTAATGCAACTCTAAAGGTTCTTTGCCTGCTGCTTTGGTAGAGCACATTTATATACAGTTTGTGCCAAACCTAATTTCAATATTTTTTTAGATTTAAGTAGCAGCTCCTGAGCCACAGACATCATTACATGCAAGAGCCTTTACAGTCAAAGTAGTAGTAGCTGCAGTAACAATGATGGGGGAACTTGCATTCATGTGGCTCAGAGCTAACCTACTAAGCCACATGAAGTTGTCTTCACATGGCTTAACATGCTTACACACATTATCGTACCATCTTTTCATTTTGTTTTCTCTCCTTTCACCTGCAGCAACAAATTGTGCAGTACCTTAAGGATATGTTTGACCACGACAAGGTCCGCTTCACCTCTCCACAGTGTTTGGCCGAGGACATCCTGAATCTTTCTCACCGCCGAAGTGATATTTTACTTGGGTATCTGGGAATCGATAGCCTTCTTGAAATCAACGGTGCCATGCCCAGTGACCAAGAGGGCTCTTCAGGGACCAACTAGCTAGGAGCAGTAGGGTAACAAAGAGCTTCACTGGGCCTTGTACCAGCTAACAGCAAAGAGGCTGACGAGTTGGGAACAGCAAGAAGTCACAGCTGAACAGTGTGTCGTATTAAGACGGGAAAGAATCATCCTCCTGTGATACACTGAGAACCAGCATTATTCATTTATTCATCCGTGTTTCATTAAACATGACGGCTTCAGTAGGACATACTTTCACTAGTTCTACAAAGTCATTGGTCCTTGTACTAAGGAGTGAGTGTAACGATCCCACCTCTTTTATGTTGCTGCTGTGTAGTCATCGAGAATGCAGACTGCAGTCATGTAATGACAGACGTGCAAGGACTTGTCTTTGCCTTGTTGGGTGAGTTCTTGAAAACAGGCCTGACGGGAAGCATTACCAACCCATGAAAACTGTGCCCGCTACACTATTACTCCACATGGATTGAGGGCTTTCAGAGAACCCTTCATCACCTCTGGAATTAAGGGGATTCATGGTGTGGGAATCAGCATTTTGTGTTTTATATTAAATTAAGTAAGATTCTGTGTTTAAAATGCTGAGATTTCCTGAGAGTTCTTGAGCACTTTGGCCAACTGATTATTAGTGCTGCTGTTTAATGAAAAATGGGATGGGTTTGTCTCCACACTTGCCCTTAAATCCTCTTTAATGTCTTTATTTATTTTCTCCACTTTGGGTTAATTGAGCTTAAAATGTGGTGAAACCAAGAAAGTCTGTTGAATGCAAAAAGACTTTTGAAATAGTGTAGGGTTCTGGCATGTTACTCATGTTTGACACCAGTGTTCACAGTTGCAGTAAACATGAGTGTCTGAAGAAGCATGTGCTAAGGGATTATGAAGGTTTACTTTCTATAAATTACAACGCAAATATTCAGATTTAAATGGCAATAAAACAACACTCCAAACACAAAAGAGTGTGAGATGTGAAATACCTGTCTGAAAACTATTACATAAAACACAACAGTTTAGAAGACGCTAAAGACAATAAACAATGTAAGACTTGAGTTCTCTTGATTTGTATTTGCTAATTCTAAAGTCTGAATTTGAGACGTTCTCCCAGTTTAATTGCTTAAAAACATTTGGGTCTAAAAGTGTCCAGTCGCAAGTTGTACCAAATAAGCCTTTAACAAAGTGGATACTACTCACTTGTCCTAGCAGGGAAAGTAGGTGTTACTAATGGTACCAGTAGTGCTGTGTTGTTCACACGACATGAACAGTAGAGTCTTTCCGTGGCAGTTTCACTGGTTAACATTAAAAATGGCTTTAAAGTAGGTGAGCCAGTGTTGGGGCCCAAGCACTATGCATGTTTGCTCACTCACTCACTATCACACCTTAACAGCACACCTACTGAATCACTTATGTTTTTGTTTACATCTGTACTTTTTCTGTACCTTCAGTGATAAAAGGGCGCTATGTTTTTTTTGGGGTTTTTTTGTGTAAGAAGGTGGACACCTGTGGAGATCTTGCTTAGAAAAAATATATGTAAACAGTGACACATCCTCTAAATGAAACATTACCATTTATTATTCTTAGCAAGGATATATCTGATGTTATAAAGATCTGAAATGAAGAACAGGGCATTGTACAGCTGGACTGTCATCCACATAAGTGCACTGATGATAACGTCTGAGTCTGCTTTGCTATCCAAAGTACTGTGAACTTGTTATTGAATGGCATTTATTCCGCAATTCTCGCATCGATTACACCACTACTGCACGGGCGCATTTCTGATACGCAGATATATACAAAGTAAATCGTCTTCATGAAATTGAATTTTAAAAAAGAAAAGATTATTTATTTACAGAGAAGCACAGTTTTCTGAGGGGAGGAAAAAAATCTCTCTGACTACTTTGGGCCGTTTTAGTGTCAGTAGTTTATCTTATGAGTCCATACAAGTGTATTTCTTGTGGCAGTGATAATCCAAATCAAAGTCTCTTAAATTAAGAGCTTTTATTTTATTTTATTTTGATTCAGTATTTGCAGGGTTATTTGGTGTTTCTGTCTAACATGAACCAAAACTGTAAATTGAGCTTTTACAGAAAATCATTTGGTTCTTCATTGTGACAGATGAGCATTTTGCACTTTAGCAGAAAAATCCAAGAATGTCCAATAACCCTTTTTTAATAGCTGTTGATTTATTTGTTGCATCAAAAAAAAAACTGATATTGATAATAAAGAACATAAATGTTGTACAGTAGAGAAATTATCTTTCCCAGATCACTATACATATGATCATTGTTAATCTGCTTTCTAGGTTTTGTTTATGTGTCCATCTTGTTCAAATTCTCCCCTTTTAACTGTTCTAGTAATTTTTATACCATAATGTGTCATGCAGGTAAATGCTGTTATGGAAAAATGCTTCTGTTTAGTCTTGTGTCCATAGATTGGTCTGCTTTTTCTCAGAGAATACATCAGTGTATAATGCTACTTGTAGACCCAGGCTTAGCCTTTAGCTGTAAGTTTTAAAGATCCAAGATTACCAATATTTAGGAATTTCTCATTTAAAAAAAATATGCATGGAGTCTTCTTCTTAACATATACTTGATGCAAGAATTTCAGGTGGCCAAACTGTAGAGAAAGATTGGTTTTGTTTTGAAAATCACTGCTGTGTTTCAAGTGTCCTACTCATGCCTTTTGTCTTTTCTATTGTTAATCAACAGCAGAAACTCTGATCTGATTTTAATTTTCCATATTAAATGTTATTTTTTTGTTAAATGATATTGAGTTATTTATTTTACTTCACAAAAGTCAAATATTCTAATTGAGAGTTTTAAAAGAATATTGTTAGGATAGGTATATCAAAAAACACTGGCTTAATTTTATTTAAAGGTTTTTAAGGAATGATCAGGAATGATAATAAGAGGAAACAACTCTAATGTGACTAAAATATTGGTCAGGAATTTTAAATTATTATTATTATTATTATTATTATTATTATTATTATTATTAGTAGTAGTAGTAGTAGTAGTAGTAGCATCAAAAGAGGGCAAATATCATCAGTATTCCCAATTGTTCAGGTGATTATTGTCATCACGTAACTGTCCCCTATAAAAATCCTCAATTTAAAATTTACAGTTCTTACATACTTTATCTTTATTTTGTCAAAAGATGATATATGCATCAGTGGTGCTACCACCCTTTAAAAACCTTCAAGACAGATGTTTTTGTTTTTTTTATTGGCCTCACGTGCAGCGATTATTAGCTAGCATGCTAACACACTAGCACCTACCACAAAATTTGAAATCTACTAACATTTAGCTCGATTATAGCACTGCTCAGGTGGATACAGGCATAGTTTAAAGTCAAAAATGTTTTTGTTTCATTATTTGTAGCTCCTTTTAAACTGTTTAAAGTAATAAGAAAGAGACGGAGACACACAAGAGGTAAAAGCTCTGTAGTGATTTAATAGTAAGCCAGTAGAGGAGCACAAATCTTACAATAACTTTGTATAACAAGTCTGGATAACTTGTTACTTTTTATCCCAAAAGAAAGACATTTTAATTTTTGAAAAAAAGGACATAAATGGGAATCAAAAATTCCTTACACTGCATTTATGATCAAGTTTGTCTTACAGCCTGAAAGTTTGTATTTACAGTTAAGGCTGTTTCCAATATGAACTCATGCAACTGAGAGTTATGCCTGTGGATGGGTGAGGTACACCAAGCGGAGTTTGTCAATACATTTGGCTATTACAACAGCCAGACAAAGGTTATAATGGTCACTACAAAATACCTAAAACTAAAAAACAAACAAACTGTATAGCTCCAAGTTAAAGTATTTAACCATAGATATTATAAAGAATAAACACAATGGAGGTTGTGCCAGAGTTTTATAGTTTTGGATTTACTAATTAGTTTATATTTTGTTTTGTATTTTTGTTTTTAATTCAGTTTAGTTTAGTTTTTACTTTTCATTGCTTGACAATGTTTAGTTTTACTTTTGTTTTTATTAGTTTCAGTGTTAGTTTTAGTCCCTTTTTGTATAGAGCGTATATGCCAGATGCAAGATTTAGAATTCTCAGTAGAAGTATCATTGCAATAAAAAACAGAACTTTTTTGAAAGGAGTTGACTCTCAGTCTTTTAGACATCCAAAATGTCAATAAACATGTCTATCAAAGCCTCATCAGCTCAATTATGATAACAAATTTTCCCTCTGTTTTAGTATTTTTATTTTAGTTTGTTTGCAAAATTGTTTCAGTGACTTTTAGCTTTTCTTGAAAATCTAGTTTTTATTTTAGTTAAGGAAAATGTTTTTCACATCTAGTTTTCATTTTCAGTTCAGCTTTATTTAACTATAATAACCTTGGCATGAGCACTCCCCTGCAAGTATGGCATTATTGTATATTGCACACGTATAACCTGAAAGAGACTGGTCATCTATGGTTAATGTGGGAACCTATGTGCTGGAGTAGCATTACCCAGCACCTTGGCACCACTGACTGGTTTGTAAAGACAGCCGCACTCTTCATTGGCTAACAGCTGGTTAATTCCAAGGCATAAGTCACTGAGCTTCCGGCTTCCTGACATTTAGAATGATAAAAATTTGCAAAATGGACACAAATATGACACAAAGGGAATGATTGAGCCCATAAAATCATCAGGAAAGTGTTTACAGGGGTTAGAGCTGAAGGCAGTTTTCCCACAGACTTCTGTAGGACTAAAGTCTTTTTGCAACCACAGCGATTTGCCCCTTGTGGTCATGAAATAGAATACAGGCAAAAGTAAATCAGCATTGGCTTCACTTTTTTGGACCTGAAAGCTACGCCCATGTTTAGTTGTTTAATATTCTCAAATAAATCCTTCTGGCTTTGAACATTGTTCAGAAATGATGGCGGGCCAGTAAAGTGTAGGATAGTGAAAAGGCTCAAATTAAGCTTAATCAGTAATGAAATTAATTCAAAATGCACTGATACCCCCATATTGGCCCTGCCATTCACCTATTAGCAGTTAAGATGACATTTATGTGTTGTGTGAAGGCTAAATGTACAAATATTTCAAAACACTTCAGTTTAAAAAAAAAAAAATTAAATAATCTGCTTCTTGGACACAAGGTGGAGTAGGTAACATCTATTCCAAACAAAACAAGTAAAATAACACAAGTAAATATTAAAAAACAAACAAATCCACAGACCACTTGCATTTGTGTTTACCTTAAAATCTTAAAATCAGTGTATCCCTATTATTAGTTTTGAACGACAGTTCCACTTTTTAAGTGGCTTATAATGGATCTATACAGTATTAGCCACAGTTTATCAAGTCTCCTGTAAGGATAATTTATACCTTAGCCTTTGTAAAGGTTAGCTTAAGACTACTAAATTATGTTTTGACATTTGACAATTTGGCTCAAATTAATTCATATTTTAACACACAAAGAAATCTCAGATGCAAATTAGGTCAATTATTCAAAGGTTAAAAAATAGTCTGGGTTAATGCCTTAAATTAATGAAGACAATTGTAGATCATACATGTTTTTGAATGAGTGCATTTTTGGTATTTTAATGTAGGCGGCCCATTTTTTTTTTTGGTTCATTCAATAATTCTTCTCTATGGACAAAATAGCTCGTCTGCAGATTGCAGCTGGGATTGGTCGTCGCTTCCACTGTCAGGGGACGTTTAAGTGCTGAGCTCCGCTCTCCATTGGCTGGACACGTGTCTGGGCGTTTCACTGTGGGACTGCCCGGTTGTGTCCGGGTAAGATGGCGTTGGAAGAGCAGTGCTCGGCACCACCTCGATGGCGGTCCATATCTTTGACACACGTAGAGTTCCCCGAGGGTACGTACACTTAGCGTCTTTATGTGTCTGCTGAAGCTCTGTCGAAACCGGCTGTTGTGTAATTTTTCGGGCAGTGCGTGTTTTGTTGCTGCTGAATGAACACGGCCGTCGGTGTTGCTGCCAAATTGTGAGCTGCTGTAGAACCAGCAACACAGCGGGAAATGTAACCCGGACTGCAAAATTGTGAGACAGCGTCGCATGCGCAGTTTGTCACAATGTCCACAATGAAGGCTAGTTAGCCTGCTAGCTGTCTTTATATCGTCTTCGGTATTTTCTTTCCGCTCTCTGCTAATACGCCGTGTACTGTAACGGTTATTTGACCAAACTCAAGTATTTAAAAAATAGGGAAAAAAAGTATGACTACAGTAGAAATAAATTGGTACTCCTCGTAAAGCATTGTAGCCAGCATTGTAGCTAACATACTAGCTAGTCCCATGGCCTGATACTGATCAGTGTGACTAAATCTCATTGCACGTATATGTCTGAATTGCACCCAATAATGTGCTCTGTTAGTTTAAATATGGCTTAGCTACTTAACCACAACAGCTTCCTTCTTGTAGCCACAGTGTCTTGGTCATCCGGGTTCACTGAGAGACACAACTTGTCACTCCCACCAGTGACTTCTACTGTTTATGTGCCATTTAATATCTGTAATCTGTTAATGTGTTTTAGATGATCTGACGGGACACTTGCTGGCCTACATCAGCCTCATCCCTATAGCAATTCTTGTGGGCTTTGTTACACTCATAGTGTTTAAACGGGAACTGCACACGGTGAGTCCTGCACATGTACTTGACAAAGTTGTGGTTTTAGAAAGGGCACAATGTTTAAAAGTCCGCCTGTGAAACTGTCAATTGTCTCACAGGAACTTGATCAGCATTGTCAGA